GTCGCGCGACCGGTCGTGGACTATGAAAGATGCCTCTAGCAGCTCCCAGTATTCGACGCCGTGAACGCTCCACCAGATGCAGAGCATGACCTTCTTGGCATGTACGATGGCTTTGGGGAAGTCTTCTACATCCGCACCTTTGTCAACCCATTGAGCACGCCGGTGGACGTTAGAGTAGAGAATTCACTTCTCATTCCTGGTAACTAGGTGGTCGAGCCACGTGTGGGTGCACTTGAGTGTGAGGAGAGAAAGTACCATGTCGGCGCGACCGTCCATGTCATACTGCTTCAATGCCTGAGGCACCCATCGACCGAGCTTTCGCATCTTGCATTGACTTCAATCCACGAACAACTGTAGACTGACTCACCCTTAGAGAGACTGCTACTTCACAAGTAGTTTGATACGGATGGGCTTCCACCTGGCTCCGCAGCAGGTCCAAATCCAACTCCTTCGGGTGTCCCGGACGGTCCTCATCTTCGATGGCATAGTCGCCCGACGCGAACTTCGATTGTCATTTGTAAATTGTGCTCTCGAAGGGGCATCCTCCTTGTAAACTTCCTCCATACGTTTACCGATCTCCGCGGGTTTTTGGCCAGATAAAAAAAGAAGCAGGATGGTGTTGCGGAGGTGGAGTTGCGATGGCTTGAAATCATGGGTCATGATTGCAGGAAATGAAACAGTTAGGTGCGTTTCTTAATATGTCCTTGGAAGAGCTTTTAAAACTCTATCTAATAATGCCTTGCGCGCCCAATTTGATTCCCTCTTTCCCGAGTTATGATCTCTAGAAGTAATCAATACCACATTGTCCGAGGACTTATGACTCAACCTAATACTTTCTGGATTGAATGGGGTCTCATCGGATAGTTTATATTCTATTCTCATTCCTGTGCCTCCCTGTCTCCTTTACCTGTTTTCCTCGAGCTCTCCTGCTGGGTTTCTATCGAGTCCTGTTGAGCAGGCTATGTTATTTGATGTCGTAGTTTTCCGAAAAAGATTAAACTATGTTTTGCAAGTTTAATCGGTTCCATGTAGAAATGTTAACCTGAGAAATGAAGGCGTTTGAAGTCACCTGCTTTTGCTCAAATTTTTCTCAGTTGAAAATGCATATGTAGAATACAAAAATCCCTGAGTGTCAAAGGTATTAGAATTCATTGCAGTGTATAAATATTTTTTCTTTTGCAGAGGCTTCGGGTTTATCACATTTGTCGATCCGGCTAGTGTAGATAGGGTATTGGCAACTGAGGAGCACGAATTAGATGGCAAAAAGGTACTTTTCATTCATCTCGATTTCCTCGAATATTCAAGCCCGTGCTTGTTGCTTTTCCACCCTATTCATTTTTAACTAGGAATTTGGTCTATCGAGCGACGTGCGTATACGCAAGTAGAAAGCTTGAAGCTCAAAAACAAACCTAAAAAAATCAAATTGCGGTTGAGGAGGGGAGGACTAGTTATGCTAAATGACGGTGGTTAGGCCACTGCTGCACTTTTACTTTTCACCGTTCACGACAACTCTTATCCATTTACGACCAATGATCAAAGACTGTGAACCTCATTGAGGTTTTCCAATGTTCTCAATACAACACAATGGAATAAAATCAATTACTAAAGTGGACAATGGTAAAGTAATGTGTAAACATTGCGAATAACCCCATGAACTTAGGATCATTCCTTAGCTGGCAAATTGGAAAACGTTGGGCACGCTTCTCATGTTGTTAAGTGTGAATCCAGGGAAAACCAATATGTATTCAAGAGAGTAATCTCAAGTTCTCAGATTATGAATTAACTCCAATTAAAAGTAACCTTTTTAGTATTAAAGTAGCCTCTCTCTCATCAGGGAACTTAATGAAATTTGGGTGAATCCAGAAAATTGTATGTAGATAATATTGGGTGCCGGAGTCAAAAAATTTTGAGAAGTACGGGGTTTTGTAAAACGTGTCCCATGGGCAGAAACAAACTGCAGTTGATCGTTCAAAGTCAAGGCTTTTCCAGATGGGATTTTCTCTTCTGTTTCAATAACTTGTGAGGGGACAGGAGTTTGCTTGGAAATCACGAAAAAAAAAAAGATTAAGAGAAACATTCGAGCAGGATAGCTTGAGAAACTGCCGTTCAGTGCTCGGCGTTCAATATTAGTCTTACTGCCACGTGCGCAAGTTTGCAGAAGGTTATTCCAGCCAAGACGTTATCAGCCAGCTCACCGCTCATTTAGGTACATAGAAACTAATAACATGAGCTTGTCTCGCGTAAGGAACTAATTAGATGCCCGTGTGGAAGACGTCATGTTTTCAGTGGAATATCAACCGAAAGGGTTTCCAGCATTCGTGTCATGTTTCAGACGAACAGCCACCCCTTCTTTGTTGGTAGCGGTCCTAGCAAAGGAACTGAAAGGGAATCCTAGAATTGCGAAAAATTATGAAATAACTTCCGAATAACTTTGTCATTGAACATTCTTTTTGTTCGAATTAGTCCAGTCGGCCGAGGAACTTACTGCGTTGTTTTGCCCAATGACCTACCATATTAAGATTAGTTGTAATAGAGATAAGAAACAATCGAACCAGGAATAAAAGCCCTCTCAGAAATACTCGCAGAATTTTTTTTGGAGCAAATAGTGCCAGTACATGGGAGTGAGTTAAATTGGGACCAACCCACTCACAGCTGGTTCTAAGGATAAGGGGCATAGAATATGGTAGGACAACTAGCGAGTTCCATTTTTCTACAATTTGTCACCGTAGGAAATGAGTTCACTGCACTCCCACCTCTTAATCATTCGGCTTCCTAATAAAGCTCATTTCAGATCGATCCGAAGGTCGCTTTTCCGAAAAGATCGCAGACAAAGGTAGGTTATACAGTTTTTAGTGGAGGTGACAGTTGGTTTGTTATTCGTTTACGGCAATGTAATTATATCCTTCCGAGTAGTGCAATTCGTTCTTACCATCTTTACCGTTGTCTTTTGGGGGTAGCATTTATTAATCGGAATTATGTATGAATATCAGAAAAGTTAGATCAGATGAGTTGCTTTATGCGAAGATTTCCCCATCTGAACCGCTCAAAAATAAGGTACCACAATCTGGATTGATTCGCGCAATCGCATATTCTGGGACTTCATTATGGTTTCACTACTGCGTAGTAGGGATGGCAGTGGCAGGGGAAGAGTTGCTGGTTTTGTTTTTGTCGTTTCAGATTCTTCACTTCTTTTTTCTATGCTGACCAAAGTAGTAGTTCCTTCTTACAACGTCTCAAGCTTGACTTTAAGGGATAGAAAGTGTAAAATAGTTGGTCAAGTAACTTAACTAAGTGCATGTGCTTTGAAACTTTTGACGTGTTTTGGATGTGTGGCGTGCATGCCGTCGGGAACCTTTACCACACGGTTTTATGGCCATTTTTATAGGGTCGTTGTTTGTTCATTATTGACCATGCTCAAGGCCTTCGCGTGGGATACCTCATGCAGGGAGGGATTGAGGGATTATATTCTACCCCTAGAATCATAAAGAAGCTACTGTTTATAGGTAGAAGTCGAATCAAATGTCGCACGCTGCTTATACCTTGCAGTGTGTTCACTAACCAATGGCAAAACTAAGTCCTTTCTAGGTGGTCCTTCAGATATAGTTTATCCCATCTTGCTTGTGAGATTGAAACGATGTGCACTGTTGACAGCGTAACTCGTCCAATAGCTGTAATCGTTACTTTGACGCTTTTTCGCTCCACCATTGTAAGAGCTACTTGTCTATCCCAGTCTGTCTCATATCGGGTGTCAATTCCAGTTCTATAAGCAAGCTGGAGACGAGCGAACCTCATCTCGTTCCCTGATCCGTTGTCGCCCCTACACGGTTATGACTTCTATTGAAAGACTCTCTCCCTCTTCATGGGATTCACTTCATATGTCGCGCTGGAAAATCACGGATTGAAGCATCCTTTCGTTCCTTCCGCTCAATAGCTTGAGGCTTGAGCTTTTATGAGATTCGTTCACGCGACTCAAACTTCACATACGTCCTGGTATCTCTGAGAAGCTATGAAACTGTATACTCACTACACCTAATCTTTTTCCGGGAAAGGTATACCTGTATAGTCAATCGCTGGGACGTGTTTCTCTGTGGTTCGATCTACTGTAACTTTCGGTCCGAGAAAAGTTTGTGCTCTATACCTTTTGAGAAATTTTTGAGCAATGCGGTCCTATAATACTCCGTTGTCTTGGTATTATAATTCTGGAATTCTATTCTCATACCGAAGAAAGAGTTTGTCTAAAAGTAGGGGGTCCAACTTCTTATAATCATCACGTTTTCAGAATCTTTAGTCCCAACAGAGAAACTCGTCGTTTCCAATCCCTTTTCTGATTTTAATTTTTTTTTNTTTTTTTTTCTTAAAGGCTGAAATACACGTAGTTTTCAATGTTTTTTGTCAGTCCTTGCTTATTACACAGCTATATAACTGAATTCAATCTCTTGCTCAATAACATAGAAGTACTTCGTGGCGATTTTTCAAGAGGATAAAAGGGCCGTTGATCCGTCAGCAGATCTGGAGGCGTCTATAACTAGCTGCAGTCCGTTCGTTCATGTTTACGCTTGATATTCGCCTGAATTTTCGAGAGCAGTGGTGCTCTCATGGGAGCCGATCACGTCTGCCGCCTTGAAGAGCTTCTCGGCAGCAATAGCTAAAGGCAGCTTTCGTGCCGAGTATGCGATAAGCGCGTTTCTCGAATAATTGAGGTTAACGCCTGGCTTCCATGTGGGGCGTAATTACTCGTTCTTCCAATCTTCCACCAATTGGTCCAATCGACTGTCCTACCCGAACGAAGGTGCCTTGTATCTGAGTCGGAGTAGCTTCTAAAGTACAAGGACATTCCTTTCAAGTAGGCGGAGTCATGTCTGACTTTGTAATAGACCACGATTTAGGTAATTCTGTCTATTGGAGGGCTCTGCTCAATCACAAATCTCGGCATTTCTCTCTGAATGTTCAGCTCTCACTAAGATGTTCACCTTCTCCGCTAATGTTCTGCCACTGTCGCCTTCTTTGCAGCTTGGAATACGGAATAAAGAAGATGGCCACGCTGAACGTTGCCTGAATGACTTGTAGATTAAGGTTTCCGTAACAGCTGGATAAATAAACATTACACAGTGGAATAATGCTGTATCATTTATTCTGCTTTTCATTTTGTAGATATCGTGAAATCAGTTTTGTCTGCGCAGACTCAATAATTTTACTCACGTCACTTTCCTGTCCTATTTTGAGTCTCATTCAAGCTACTTCCCGTACAAAGTATTTCTTTTGATCATTTCGAATACTGATCGATCCACCATTTCTCGAGCTGGGTTATAGCTCGAGTGTCGTAGTAAGAAACCTTCTTTGCTGACCACTACTTCTATTCCTAGTGTGCAACTCTTTTTTCCTTTGCTTATAAATCGCGACGGGCAGTAATTACGGTATTCTATACAGTTCTCGTAAAGAAATAGCACCCATGGACAACCAGGACAAGGAGGCGAGGTAAGCAGGTAGACGGTGGAGACAGCAGTCGAAAACGAAATCCTTAGTTACAGTTTTGGTGCCTGTATTCGAATACGAAGGTATTGAACTACGAGAATTGTGCATCGAGTTATCGGGGACTTCACTTCCCTAGTTAGGGTATGTTGCCCTAATAGTGCACAGTTGTACATAAACTTGACCTGTTCTTAATCCTGCATCTTCAGCATCGATACAAACCTTTTTAGCTTGATCCCCTTTTGTTTGCCTTCTGTTTCAGGACGATGTCTTTTGGGATTTTTCCACTCCTCGTGACAGGGAATGCTCGAAAGTAGTTGTAAAGGAGGATGTAGAGGTTGGATAACGAATGCAGCTGCTGTGTTTGCATTGTTTGTTTGAGCTCATGTGTAAGCTGCAGCCAGGTGTCAGGGTAGCCAACAACTTTTTCCTTGCTTCACACACTACAGTACGGTTTTTCTGCGAACCTTGAGAAAACTCGAAAAAGTGTCCCTTGCAGAGTTTCAACTACCGGTTGCGACGAAGCTTTGACGCCGTTCATTGTAAACCCTTCTCAGCCGAGTCGTTTCCTCGGTCCTCGGAAACTATGGGGGAGAAAACTCTCTCTTCGGTCTCAATGATGCTTTCTTTCCCTCCCTTTTAGGCCATAGAAGAGCTCATCGAGAGCGTTTTCACGGAATTTTTCTCGAATATTGGCTACGGATGTTTTCCAGGTGCTTTCTGTTTTATCCGTTATCGTCTCTCAGCAAGAACTGCCTTGTAAACAGGACTCTAATCACTTCTCTTTGTCAGGTGTAATATTTTCATGCAGTTATTTATAACTAGTTTTGGGGTTGTTTTGCATTGCCGCAGTGAACATGTTTTTCGTACAGC